CAACAACAAATTCTTTGAGTAACTTCCAAATGATTTTATTTCAAAGGTTCTTAAAAGATATTTCTAAACTGAAATTCTTCCAATTTAAATATGGGGGATTCAAATATTAAACAATGTAGATTGCAACTCTGAAAAAAAAGATGGAAAAAGAATTTAAACCAGCTATGTGGTAAACAGCACAGGTTCCCAGAATTGACAGCTCTGAGCACCTGGCCCTGAGTGTACAGGTTCATAGTGGGTTGTGGCTCCTTTTCTAGCACAGGAAGTCTGGAGAGGATGCCATTCTAGCTGCCCCAGGATGACAACTCCAGCTAAGAGAGCCCTCCTGCCCTTCTTGAGTCACATTCCTGCCAAGTGCTTTGACACCAAAATTTTTCATGTTGGAGCAAGGATGAGGATGCAGATGAGACTTATAATGTATGTATGATTTTTTAAATTATGATAAATCCGTCGTAGGTTTCCCCGACCTAGGAAACTGATGTTGTTGTTAGGTGCCATCAAGTCAGCCCCTACTCATAGCGACCTTATGCAGAATGAAATGCTGCCTGATCCTGCACCGCCCTCACAATCGTTGCTATACCTGAGCCTGCTGTTGCAGCCACTGAGTCAATCCATCTTCCCCTTGAGGGCCTTACTCTTTTTTCATTGACCCTCCACTTTACCAGCCATGACTTCCTTCTCCAGAGAATGACCCCTTCTGACAACATGACCAAAGTAGGTGAGACGAAGTCTGGCCATTCATTGTTGCTTCCAAAGAGCATTCTGGCTGCACTTCTTCTAGGACAGATTTGTCTGTTCTTCTAGCAGTCCATGGACTTTCAGTATTCTTCGCCAACCTTGCAACTCAAAAGCATTGACTCTTCTTCCATCTTCCTTATTCATTGTCCAGCTTTCATGTGCACAAGAGGCAATTGAAAATATTGTGGCTTGGGTTAGGCACACCTTAATCTTTAAAGAGATATCTGCGCTTCAGCCCTTTAAAGAGTTCTTTTGCAGTAGATTTGCCCAGTGCGATACGTCATCTGATTTCTTGACTGCTGCTTCTTCCGTTGGTATTGGTGTGGATCCAAGTAATATGAAATCTCTGACAACTTCAATCTTTTCTCCGTTTAAGGTGATACTGCTTATTGGTGCAGTTGTGAGGATATTTGTTTTCTTTATGTTGAGATATAAGCCTTACTGCAGACTGTAGTCTTCAGTCTTCATCAGTAAATGCTTCAAGTCATCCTCACTTTCAGCAGGCAAAGTTGTATCATCTGTGTATCACAGGTTGTTAATGAGTCTTCCTCCAATCCTGATGCCACATTTTCTTCATATAGTCCAGCTTCATGGATTATTAGCTCAGCATATAGACTGAACAAGTATGGTGAAAGGATATAACCCTGATGCACTCCCTTCCTGGTCTTAAACTATGCAGTATCACCTTGTTTTGTTTGAATGGCAGCTTCCTAGTCTATGTCCAGGTTCCTCATGAGCACAATTAAGTGTTCTGGAATTCCCATTCTTCTCAATGTTATCCATAATTTGTTATGATCCACACAGTCAGATGCTTTTGCATAGGAAACTGATAGTAGAGCATAATATGACTTCTTTAGCTCTTTTCTCCTCATCGCTGCTGCTATTGGTATATGTTTTAACCTGATTTTACTTGTATAATAAGGCATGTTGGATGATGGAGGGATGGGTAGAGAAGACAGTTTTCCTCAGAATCTGGATCCTGCCAAGAATGGCCAGGACAAATAACAAGAAAAGTTATAGAGATGGCTTATATGTCATTGGTTATTATGATAATGTATTATATGTGACATTTTCACAGTCAGTGTTCATGTTTGGGAAGCAGCAGCTTTTATTTCACTTAATACATCTTTTACTGTTTGTCTTTCCCATTCTAAACCCTTATCTTCCTCCCTGTTCTGTGCGTGCATGTTGTGCTGGTGTGGAGTTGGATAATAAACGTTTCTAAAGGAAGTCCAGTGAGCATCACGTATTATTGTAACACTGCTACTTCCTTTGTTAGTCAAATCAGTCCCTGTGCTAATTCTTAGGATGCCTGACATAGTTCTCAGGCATACAAGGATCTCTTTAGCTATACTAAGAACCTACTCTTTCTTTCCCCCTCAAAAACAAAACAGCAACAACAACAACAAAAAACCCACTGCCATCAAGTCGATTCCAACTCACAGCAGCCTCCATTGGGTTTCTAAGGTGGCAAATCTTTATGGAAGTAGATAGCCCAGTCTTCCTCCTCCAGAGTGGCTGGTGGATTTGAATGACCAGCCTTCTGGCTAGCAGTCAGATGCCTTAGGCACTGCACCACCAGAGCGCCTTTCCCCCTCAGGAAAGTGTAATTTTAAACTTGATCTCAAAACAGTGTGACAGTTCTGTAAATAAATCTGTTTTTGTTAACCAAAGAACATAGTGTAGTAGGATAGTGTGCTTCTTTCCACTAGATGGGAGTATGAGATAACCAGATGTAAGAAAGAATCTTTGGTAGCTGAACTAGAGCAAAAGCCGTCTTCAGCAGTCTTACCAAATAAAGGTTTCTGGCAAACGTGTGTGAGGAGGGTAGCTTGGCTGAGCCGCAGGCTCTCACGTGCTCTCATTCTCTGGGACTGTAAAGTCAGATGTAATGTTTTCAGTTTGCATATCTTACTTTGAGAAAACTAAGAACATAAACATTTATAATAGTTATTTGACAAAGTGGTTTGTTTTGAGTTTTTTTTTAATATATATATTGTTTTTCTTTTTTGTAAGAGGTAGCATTTAGACTTCCAGTAAGGTAGCAGAATAGGGAGACAAGCTCCACAGACCCTCTTCAACAAAGAAAAGAAAAACCAATTGACAGAGATACGGAAGATAATCCTGGAGCCCTGAGCTTTGAAAGGAAGTATACAGAAGTGGATTAGGCACCAACTAGTGGAAAAACTGAACAAAAACAGAGAATACATGAAAGGTTGGAGCAGTGGACTGTCAACTACTCTGACAGGACCAACAGCCTGAATATTTCCAAGTGGTCTTGGGACCTGAGAATTGATCTAAAGATCAGCCCTGGTCACCAAGGGCTGCAGGGATGATTGAGCTCGTGGCCTATGACTAGGATGGAAGACAGCAAGGAGGAAGACAACCTGTGGACTTGGCTGTCTGGAGAGTGCAGCCATTTTTGATTGTTTACACATGGTGCCCATTTTGGATATTTAAAGTGACCGAGGGTGCAGCCATTTTGAATGTTTACAAGCGGTCGCCATTTTGGATTTTAACATGACAGCATTCTCATTCGGATTTCAGGGACCTAAGAATAGGCTCCATTTGCCAAGGATGGCAGGGACAAATGAGAGGCAGGCAATGAGAAAGCAAACAGGTGGTGAGTGTATAAGTGCTGCAAACTAGCAAATAGAGAAACACAGCACTGTATCCTGTGTTAGGTACATAACATACAAACAAAACAAAGCAAATGAAAATCTGGGGGAAATCACTCCAACATACAACTACCAATTAAATAAAAACACAAAAAGTCACAATGCCTCAGAGACAACAGAGCATCACAGTCCACACAAAGAAACAAGATAAAGCAGGAGAAACAAGGGACCATGATACAGACCCAAAACTCATCACTGAGGAAGAAGCAGCATTGGAGCTCCCTAATAAGGAATTCAAAAGAATCATATTTAGGTACCTTCAACGAATTGAGAGACAGATCAAGGAAAACAGTGACAAAATTGAGGAAAACCCTATAACAATTTAGAAAGACAATACAAGAACAAACTGACAAAATAAATGAAAAATTAGAAATGATACAAAATCTACAGACAGAAATCCAAAAGATCAATACTAAATTTTCAGAAATAGATAACACATTGAATGGGCAAAGGAGTAGAACTGAATCAATGGAAGACAGACTTA